AGTCGAGTCCCAGAACCGGAAGAAGGAATATTTTCTGGACAACCTTGCTAGAGATCATGGTCATCGGATCGTTCGCCTGCCGCCATATCACTGCGACTTGAACACGATAGAGTTAGTGTGGGCACAGATGAAGCGCGTGATAAGACGGGGGAACTTGGCGGGACGGATGGAGGAGATGGAACGGCTGGTGTAGGCAGGTGTCGCAGCTGTCTCTCCAGAGGACTGGAGTAAGTGCTGTGAGCACGTCAAAAGGCTGGAGCAGCAATAATGGACGAATGACGGGCTGCTAGAAGATCTCCCACCGGTTGTCGTAACAACCGATGATAGCAGCGACTCTGGCACCAACTCCGGCAGCGACAACGATGAATGAGAACAGTATGACACATCGATCATGAGAAGTGTTTCCGTTTCGTTCTTTTCAGCTGACTTCGTGGCGTTTACGTGGATGTGGCATGTAGTTACATGTGGGGTGTTTGGGCTGGATGTATTGTACATATATCTGCAGCTGAATGTTAAGCGTTTTGTTGAATACCTTCAATAAAACTGAGCGAATTAACTTTCTGTGTTTGGGATTTTCCCATGTTATTCATGAAACAGCACCAGTTTAGAGCAATGACCGAATGAAAGTACAGCATAACTTGCTTCAAAGGTAGACAATGAATTTGGAACGTAAAGATAATTGCCAACGAAAATAACTACAGAGCCAATATATATATATATATATATATATATATATATATATATATATATATATATATGTGTGTGCTGAACTTGATGTTCATATGGTTGATCGAAATATATATATATATGTATATATATATATATATATACATATATACATATATATATATATATATATATATATATATATATATATATATATATATATGTATATATATATATATTTCGATCAACCATATGAGCATGAAGTTGCTGCAATCAATGCAAGCATCCAAAACTGCTATTGCTTCGAGAGATCCGCAATGCTGTCCTGCAGGCCTTCCGACTAATTTTGTTGAGTTTGAAAAAAATTCAACGTGATGCTCGTGACGAATTGATTGACCAGCTTTAATTCCGTTCTTTCCTATGATAAAAGAGCAAAGTACAAACATGGACTCATCAAGTCTGCAGTTAAATTGCGCAGCAAATTAGCGGATAGCATGACGGTGACTGAGGCTTGTGGTGACGACTTTGGCGTTTTTGCGGTCGTTCAAGATTAATTACCTCCTAGGCCCGGTGCTACGGTCCATTCTGGTAAAATGTAACGCTGCTCAGCGTAATGTACCCCGCATGGCGCATGCAAACATGCTCCGTTTGCTAACCATAGACAACTCAACATTCGCTTCGTCAAAAGCGCCATGCCAGAATCGCCCAAACATTGTACAAACTGTCAAAACCCGTCAAGCGGCGGACAAAAATTGGGCTTCCATGCTGGTAACTAGGGGTCGCAGCGAAACACACATATCAGTTGGGTAAGAACGGACCATCGCATTGGATAAAAAACGTGCGTCAGCGCGTGCGCACCGATTCCCCCGCCCCTAGCTTACAATCCATAAATCGTTCATAAGCCGTGAACTTATCTAACGTAAAGGCCCTCTTCAACGCACCTCTTGTAACTTCTCTGGATCCTTCTTATCCGCTGCTGGCAAATGCCGGTATACTGACAGCGCGCCTCCCCTCGGTCTCAACCGTATGACGACTTGCTGTCGCATCTCCGCTTGCTCTTCATCGCGCCGACAAAGCGTGCATGTCATCTCCATTTTCTCGATCCACTCCACGACATTTGCCCCGTCCGATCCATCAAACTTTGGTATCAAATTTACATCAAGTTCCGCCATAATGCTGAAATAGCTTGTATTGCTCAGACACTGATATTATTGTATTGTCCAAACACTGGCTGAGCTTAATGTTGCGCAGTGTGCAGCCTGTCGGCTCATCTAAGCAGCCAACCAGGTCCACAACTGATGCGGACGCGGACGACTCTAATCGGTATTTCGCCAGCATTGGTACCGCGACCGCCCGTCAGGTGGACTCCTCGGAGCCGCAGCTGGCGGTGCGCCCGCCGCGCATGGCCACCGGCCGGTTCCAGGTATCGCACGTTACACCGGAGCAACTGCGACGCGTCATAGCCCGCATGCGCAACAGCAGATCATGCGATGCAGACTTTCAAATTGTGTTATGTGGAAGAAAGCCGCAGCATGAGCTAGGCAGAGGCTTTCTTCAATGACAATGTGGAAGCGAGTGAGACGTCATGGACTTATTGCTATGGTATAGGGCTGAATTACCAATGCTGAAAAATTATCCGGTTGAGCACAATATGTTTCTGCGGCAAACTGTTGCCTGCCGTCGGCAGCGGCAGTGGGTGCGCTCCCTCGCTGCCTGCCGTCGGCGGCGGTCGTAGGGGTGCTCCTTTGCCTCCTCTCGCCGGCGGCGGCTGTGGGGTGCTCCTTTGCTTTGCGGGATGCTGCATGTTCCAGATGAGGTCCATGACTGACAAAGCGTTTTAATAAAGCTTACTGATGACGTAGCAAGCAATTGCGATCGTTCACCGCTTTTATCAGCCATACACCTATTCTGGACCGACGTGCTTCTATGCAGATTGCGTTTCTACGCTGGGCACGCAACAACCAGTAACATCCAGGAACCAGGGGGATGGGTTTATGAGAATAAAGTTTGAATTAGGATCCAAGATCTCGTTTTGAGGAGGAAAAGTGAGAACCAGGAACCAACATTGCACACTAGACAGTCCAGGACCAGAGCTAGCAAAAAAAAAACAGATGGAACTAACGACGGGCGCCGCGGGTGCACGGCGCCTCTTTCCGCGGGAGCCTCCGTTGCTCGTGACCGCCCCAGCCAAGGGCTAGAGAAGGAAGCTCCAGGAGCGTGGAGGCATCGCGTTGATAGTACATCGGGCACCTGACATGCTCAGGGCGCACTGCGCATGGCTCGGCCGTGAAGGTGCGAAGCCTGACTGCCGCTGAGGGCGTTTGCCGCGAGAGCGCGAGCCGGTCAGCATGACAGGCCACAGGGGCGCGAGGTAGCAGAACCCATTGGAGCCACGGGTGCAACCGAGCGCGCCCAGGCACCATGCCGGTCCGTCATTAGGGCCCTACGACGCACTCAGCTGCTGAGGTTGCGTAGCGTCGTCTGCCTCTCACCCTGGCCGGAAGGGCAGCCAACACAGCGAGTCGAACCCCTACTCCTGGTTTCCCAAAAGCGCTGCTTAATCATTACACTATCGGTGTCCCGGCAACATCCTCTATCATACCAAGTGTCGAAACCTGATGAATCTTCTGCCTGAATCATGTTGGCTATGCGCTTGTTTACTTTTATCTCGGACAACTTTTTACCTCTGTGGATTTCCATCCCTTTCGTTTTCTCTATTTGCATGATTTCCATTTATCTTTTTCTCCAGGAACTACAGCATGTGACAAGCTTTAAAGCCAGCAAGACCAGAACATCACTTCCTGTGTTTGTCCAGCAAAGCCAAAGAATGACGCATAGATCTGGATAGATTGGGAATAGTGTATGTATTTGCAAAGTGCAAAAATAACCTTCAAAGGGAATGTTCCACATTGGTATGAGGTTTTGAACCGACATAACCATTTTGACGACCTTTTGGTGCGGCTCGCAGCCCTGTCCTTTGTAAGACCTAAATCCCTCTAGTTTTTTAGCTATCCGCCCACGAAAATGGGGAGAGTATTTCAAGGAGAGTAGATCGGGGAAAGTACATCGTGGTCATCTTGGCATTCATGACGTCGTGAAAACGTCATACAAACTACGATATGCCATAAGGCATGCAGCGATCAAGGACAAGAAAAATATCATGGGCGAGGCGTCCATATGTGGCGTTTGTGAGCACGATTTCCAGATATGACGGCCGCCAGTTGCCTCTCAGTCACTGTTGTGCAATGTACGCTCACTCAATGTTGTACAATGTGTGATGACGTAAGGAAACAATGACGTGTCAAGGAACATGTTTACTAAACAGAGCAACTGTGTTACCTAAAGCAGCATTTTCTACTTGAAAGTATGCCAATAGCGAGCTAGTTCCATCACATCCGATGCTTGCTTCACTATCTTCAAATGTGAGACATCCCATTTAAAAGTAAGAGCAGTGTAAGGTAGCCCTTACACGCAGTGACATGTACATATGCATGCACTAAGCTAGAAGCGTCATCATCTGTTGCACACATCGCACTCGTGCTGGACACGCGCTTGTTGAATGGCACTCTGAGTCAAGGTAATCCCAAACAGTACGCATTTCAAGGCACAGCAGTTTTGTTGTATTCGTGATGCGTGCTGAGCTTCCCAATGTCAAACTCGGTCTGTTTCGGACGTCGTCGGCCTGTTATGTGTGCCGCGCGTCTGACTGACCGCCACCCAGCGCCAGTTTCTGTACTGCGCCTCCGCCGTGTGGAACCGGCTGCTTGCGGTGGCTGTCCGTACCCCCTGGCGTGAGCCGTTGGTGACTGTCTTAAATCGCCGGCTCATTGACTGGAGCTGACTCCCTCTGCGTATCTGTGTATCTCTCTCCCTGTGTGCTTTTCTGTGTCTGCTGTGAGACTGGCTAGGCGCAGAACAACCACCACGTGCACGTGCATTTAGTGAAATAAGTGTGATGGTAAACGTAAATATATTACGTTTCTGTTCAACATCGTCACATCCAATTAGCGTTCAATTCCCTAGTACATAGCGACAGGGCTCTTTCACGTGGTAAGTTTCCGACTGCTGCAGACCGAGCATCGCATTACAGCGGCCGGCGCGGGACGACTCGAGGCTGAACAAAGCCAGCTCTGCGTCGGCCGGTACCCGGCGGGACATCCCTGCCTTTCCCTTCACTCCTGCCAAACTGGGTCGCTGCTTCTCGGTAGTGGTGCGACTTGGGCCGTCCCAACGCAGGAGCGGGCCGCTCGGCGCTGTCGGCGAGGTCCAGGGGCCGACCGGTCTGGTGGCGCCACGGCTCGGTATAAAGGCAGCTGGCGCCGGCCATCGGCAGCACCACGGCACTCGACACCGGCCTGCATAGCATCCGTCCCGATCTCGCCATGCGTCTCGTGCTGCTCATGCTGCTGGTCGTCTGCGCGGCGGCCGCTGTCGGCGCCGCGACCGCCCACCCCGGCACGTGTCCTCCTGCGAGAGACGTGTGCCCGGCGTTCAACAGAAGCAGTGCAGGACCGCGCTACTGCGGCCACGATGGCCAGTGCTCTCCCAAAGAAAAATGCTGCTACGACGTCTGCGCCCATGCGCACGTCTGCAAGACGCCCCTGCATAGCGGATAAGGTGAGCCGCAGAGCGGACTCTTGAGCTGGCACGAGCTCGCCGCTATACCGTTGCGTATGTGCACAACATCAAGTTGCTATTTATGCCTGAGGATAGGTAAGCAGAACCTATCTGCGTACTTTTTCCTACATAAGCCATGTTGTATGACAAACTGGATAAAACCAGACATTACAACAGCACATGCTTGAAACCTACTCACGCATTTGCGCTTTAAGCCTATCCGTCAGAATAAGGTCTCCCATCTCACAAATCCAAAAAGAGTGAGCTCAAGTTCTTTCTGACTTATGTTATATGCCTTCTGCCACACTTTTTCAAGCATACAACCAGGCTTTGATAGTTGCAGTGTAAAACACTGTCCCAGCATCCGAGATAGCGCTGCACTCGCCACTGAAAAAAATTATTGGCACTTCTTGGCTTGCTCTAATTTGCAGTGCCAGGTGGCTGGCAAATATATCCTTGCATTTTGCTGGAAATTTAATAAATTTAGCCTTGGTGTTATTGCAGGGTCCGTCGAGCCTATCTATCATCAATGCTTCTGTGAAAAGCCCGTGACATTTATCGTTGTTCATGCCAACGGCAGAATACTAAGTAGCGTGCATTGCTTTTGCTCACGGTCAACTTCGCTCAGCTCATGGTGCACTGCATAATAGCCCGCTTTATCTGAGGTGGGTGCCGCAACGATATAATTTTCCAGACTGATGTGCTTCCATGTTGGTAAACACGTTGCATGATCTATTTCTAGTGCCCAAATAACGAGGTGTTGTCTGATCGCCTGCAGCGACTGGCGATCGGCTGCGGTTGGTCAGCGACCCTGAGGGCGGAGCCAGGTGCGACACTGCCGACAGCTAGATACATCTCGGCGACATTCGCCCACTCGGCATGCCTCGCCCCCCCCCCCCCTCCTGATGCTGCGGCGTTGTATACCCAGATGTTGCTTTAATGCGTGCGCCATGTCATAGTAATGTCTATATGTCTGCGCACGTCTGTATGTATTGAGCTGATGCCATGTTACGTTACCTCCATTATAATGAAACGATGCCAGTGCGTTTTTTCGCGGTTGACGGCCGGGCCATGAGCATGACAACAGAGACGTGGTCACCTGGCAACGGTGCCCGCACCGGCAGGGCGGTATGCAGGCGGCTGGTATGCACCCCCATGTGCAGATCAGACATAGGTGGCGTGTGCCGTGTTATACACATTGTCGAAAACACTTGATCTTGGCATTCACATACGCAAACATGCGATGCGTCTAATGCAGTCGACGATCGCGTGCCAGAACAATCACATCTACTGAGAAATGGACGCAGCAGTGATGTCATTGAAAGGGATGGTATTCTGGGAGCGTACAGAACGAGCTAGTCCGATTACAAGAAGCAAGAAAGGTCTCGAGCTCCAGTTTTGAGCATTTTGAGTTGGGAGATCTTGTTCTGGTAATACTGCACCTTCAGTATCAGGGGCTCAACCACGACCACGCAACCGTTATGCAACCAACCGCAACTCGACACGGAGGGACTTGATAAATGCACATCAAGCCGATTTTGAACTTTCTGTCGGGAGCCATCCAAAGAGGAAGACGAGATAAAAAATGGGTGTCGCCGGGAAGTGAGGGGCTCCGCCCCTCCCTCTTGGCTTCGTCCCTGTTCAGTACACTAGGAGCAAAATTGAACAGGCATATATGTCCATTATACATTATGTATATACATATGTATATACATATATATATATATATATATATATATATATATATATATATATAACAGGTACCTTGTTTAACGACGCTATCAAAAAAGCATTGCTAGATTGACAAAACTCGACACTTCGAACCTCTACTCGTGGTTTCAGTGGAGACCCAGGTTAAGCAACGAGAAGAAAAAAAACACTTGAATTCAGAATGCGATCCAAATCTGTGAAAACATTGACAACAGAAGTGATCACAACCACATGCAGTGCTTTCAACTCGACTCATAATTTGCTAAATGCCTTTTTGTTGGCCACTACATGACGACTTCCATATTGGCGAGATGCAAAAAATATCGACGTGCCGGATAATCGATTCAACTTGACGGCGAACTATAAAACGGGGACATGGAGCAATGGACACGCCAAAATGGGAAGCTGCTGAATGGAGAATTACAACATGTGAACATCAAAATGTCGACATGCCGTAAAGGTGAACACCAAACGGCGACCAGCAGAATGGTGGCTTGTAAAAGAATGTAGGTGCCAAATTGGCGGACGGATAAATGGTGGAGCGCTCGGCGGTCATGTGTAAACAATGGTTGCATGGGAAAATGTCGACGTGCCAAAATCACAAAAAGCTGAATAAGGAGATGAAAAACGACGAACTAACGAGGCAGGCGCATAAGCGCCACGTTCTTCATGCCTATATGGGTGGGGTATTCCGGTTCGATTTTTGTGATCGCTGTGTCCAGTGCGTCTCCGCTTTAGAAAGCAGGCAAGCCTATGCAGAGATCACAGAGTGTGTAGAGTGGTCTATCTTCTCTCCGCAGACAGGAACATTTTACGAAAACTTATTCTTGTCCCTGGCCGTTCTTTTTTTTGCGAGGTGCTTAGCGCTATCATAACTTGCCTCGCATTAGAATGCTTGATTATGTCTGTGATCAACGAATTGGAAAAATGACGGAACTGAGCGATCTCACGCGAGATAACTTGCGCTGACGCCAGGGACCTTGCAAACAAGAACGTCTCGAGAGCGAAAGACCTCTTCAAGGTCCTCATAGAATGTCGCTCTTTGCAGAGACTAGGAGAACGCATGTACATTGAAAACAGGCAAGCCTAACGAGAGTTTTCAAAACCTATCGAGAGGTCGCTTTACTAGAAGTTCAGCGGAGGCTTTTCGTCTCGTGCCGTTCTTCTTTGGCTAGGTTCCCAGCGTCAACGCAGATTATCTCACATGAGAATACCCGATTGTCCCCGTGACCGGCCAATTGGATTATGGATATAGTTGAACATTCTGAAGCGCGATGACCTACACTGACGCAGAGAATCTTACAAAAAAAACGTTCCCAGACCAAGCAGACGTTTGGGAGGCCTCTGAGCACTCTCCACAGTTTCAACCCTTTTCTAATCATCGTGTTGACAAACTTGCAATATACAACCATGCAATGTATTGCTCCATCTCCATCGAAACCCACCAGAGACAAAAACAAAGACATTCAGATCAGCGTAACAACACAAATGTGTGCAGCCATAACGTAGCCCAGCAGAATGGTCCATCCGCATCAGGGCGACAGGACGACGCATCTCAGCAGATTCACCCAGTGCACAGCAAAACGACGCGTCTCCATCGGCATACGCCGAAGACGCGTCACAACACGGCGTCGCGTTGTCGGAACACAGCACGGCAGAACAACTCACCCCACAGCTGAATGACGTATTCTATAGCCGAGCAACGCTCTTCGTGGTAGAACAGCGCGCCTCTATTGACAAACGGTGAAGAAAAAACGAGAAACCTGCAAATCAGCTTTGCAAGCAAACTTGCATGCCCATATCACAGCACAACAGAATAAGGTATCTCAAGCAGAACGATAGAACATTTTCCACAACATAACGACGCATCCCACAACAGTACGACACATCTCTATTGACATACGCATGAGATCAAGTTTCCAAATCAGCTGCAACACAAACTCGCGTCAACTATCAACGACACTTCAGCGCCGCACACACTCGCCGGACCTGAGTGTCATCTCCACCGATCGGCAAGCTCCTTTGTGCCCTCCACCGTTATGTCCCGCCTTCTGGGTAGAGCCTAGCGCGACCTGGACGCAACAACGAAATCACGTACCTGCAGCACGAAGTGTTGCAGGAAGGCGTGTGGCACGTGGTGCCCGGCCGGGCCCAGTGATGGAGTGAAGAATGTGTATGATATCGGCTGCGGCAGAACGACTATCCCCTATCGCCACATCCCCTGCACCTCCGCTACCGTCATCTCCTCCGCCTCCACGGCGGAGCGGCGCCGGGTCACACCACTAGCCTCGGCTGCCGGCTGTTGTCCCCGGCGGCTCGGGACAGGTCAGGTCACAGCAGGCCATATTCACGATTGTACGCTTGCCGTAAGGGTCGTGGGACGGCCGTACCAGAGGGACAAGGTGGTAGCTAGGGGCAAGGTAGTAGGCAGGGGCAAGGCGTATATTACAATATGTAGTATATACATCTCCATCGCCACCAGCGGCGGGGAGGGGACGACACGCAAAAGGTGCCAGGAGCACGCTTCCCCCTCCCTGGCAGGCACACGCGCTCCATGCATTAATCCATACCGAACTGATGAGCCGCAGCTCATAAGCCAGTGAGCCAGCGAGAGCCAGTTGGAAAAGAAAGCAAGAAATCCCCGATGAATTTTACTGTTGCGACAAAAATAAATATACGCATCTGGGATATCTCGGATGACCCATTATTGTCTGCGGCCTCGGCATCCCAATGCTCCCTGACACGGCTGAATATGCTCCGCGTGGGGGGGGGGGGGGGGGGCCGCCACCACTAACTAACCACTTCGATACCAATGCGCGGTGGATTTGTTAAACAGGCAGACCAGGGTTGTAACAACACGGCTTCAAAACAATTCAACTGGGACAACAGCATGCAATCATAGTGCCACACGTACGTGTTCCTGTCTGCAGGTGGCCATGCGTTGTCCAGCGGAGTGCATAAATTGCTGGTTGTCCTGCACCGAGCTTGTTATGTTAATGACAGTTTGTGCTGGGGCCGCCATGTTCGTTACGCGGTAGCCTGTAATGAACGTCAGCCCAGACTGATGAGGAAGTGCTGTTATGACCGGCTGTCAAGCCGTCTGACATCACTGAGTATCGTAATACAAATCTTGATTACGGCGCATAACGTCATTAACCCAGCAGCACCTGGGGTCATTCTACCTCTCAGCCCCGAACGTCTAGGGCTCAAAACTGCTCCTCTTGGGAAAATTATACCACAATGGATAGTTCAACTCAGGGTCAGCGAGGAAACAAAGTTAGCTTGAGGATGGGTTATTTCTTACACTATGAACAAACATGGACTCATCAAGTTTGCAGCTCAATTACGCAGCAAATTAGCGGATAGCATGACGGTGACTGAGGCTTTTGGTGACAACTTTCGCGTTTTTGCAGTCGTTCAAGATTAATTACCTCCTAGGCCTGATGTTACGATCCATCCTGGTAAAACATAACGCTCCTCAGTGTGATGTACCTCGCATGGCGCGTGCAAACATGCTCCGTTGGCTAACCATGGGCAACTCAACATTCGCTTCGCCACACACGCGATGCCAAAATCGCCCAAACATTTCAAAAACTGTCAACAAAAAGTCAAGCGGCGGACAAAAAGTGGGCTTCCATGCTGGTAACTAGGGGTCGCAGCGAAACACACATATCAGTTGGGTAAAAAAAGACTATCGCACTGGCTAAAAAGCTTGCGTCAGCGCGTGCGGCGGCGCATGTGCGCTCCTTCAAAATACATGGATGCAGTGGTTTGCGGGCGTCTTACAAAACGGATGTTTGACTTCAGCAGCTCAGGCAGATAATGCTATGAAACCAACTGCATGATGCATGCTCGTGACCCAAAAGCTGTCCGACCCATGGTGGCGTCAGCAATTGAAGTAATGAGACTCCTTATTCTTTCCGGGCAGTGGGCCACTTGAATAGACCACCAGGGGCACATTACCGGTTCCGGTCAAGGGCTGAAGGGCCACTCCGTCCCATCGCGAAGCGCTCTCTGGCCGTAATTCTGACGCCACGGGGCGGGATCTCCTGGTCGATCCTGAGGCCATTATAATTATATATCACATCATATGGTTCCTCTCCCTGACACGGAGGACCTTCTGACCCGCGCAGTTGGTCCCAGATCAGCGTAGGAGCCCTCACAGAGGCAACAACATGCCTGATCGCCGCAGGTGGTCCAATCATGGTCTGAAAGACTGCAGCTCCGTGTTTGGCTGTGTTCTTCAGAGATCCGAAAGACTACCTGAACGCACATTGTAGATGAAACGGGTCACAAATTTGTATTAACAAGGCTAATTCGTCTTAAAATGT